TTCAACGTGTGCTACATGTTCCAATCCCTGTTCGTGACTTCCAAGCATCGGGCTTAGACAGATGCAATCGTGTGCATCCTGTGATAATCTGCCACGACCAATTTTGCTCACAACAAAAGGCCTCTAATTTACCCGGAACACAGGCAACCATGAAGACACCTCGCTAATCATCAACCAGGGCTTCTACTTCCTCCTCGAAATGCATCCCTGGAGTAATTACGTACAGAGTCGGCCGATCGATTGATCGGCCCCATCAATGGATATGACTGGTTCGCTCCAAGGGCATATACTGACACTTGCACTTTTTCCACTACATAACCGGTAATTTGAGCGACTGGGCCAGTCGCACTTCAAGCAGTACCCATCAAGCCCTCTTCTTCCACCATATCAAATGTCAGCAGGCCCAGGCGGCCAAAGGGGGAGGGGGGGGGAGGGGGGCACACAACCCAATGTTCCTTTGTGTGGCGTCCCAGCTTCGTCCTTTCTGAAGACTGTGTGACACTGTGTTACAACTCATCACACCCAATCCCATGTTTGCCCGCCCCACCTAACCTTTCAAATCTCTGAGGAAAAAGTACTACCTAGCGTGAGTATGCCCTAAGCTATACAATGGTAATTTTTTTTCATTACCATGTTAATTTCCTTAACCATGGTTGATTCCCTGGTTGAACAATGAGTGCTTTAATCGATTGATGGATCGGCAAATCCAATGATTCATTGACCGACTGACTATTGGACTGAGCGGCTCAACGGATCGATTCGTTGATTGATTGGAATCGATAGCTCGGTTGATTGATTGCTTAATTGGCTACTTGATTGATTGCTTGACAAAAACAAACAATCAGAAAACATCGACGATTCGATCCGGTCGCCTCAGCAACCGATAAACCGGTCGATCGATTTGTTCCTCAAAAGCAATGCCTACTGCGATCGAAGGCATAAATTAGAGGCAGACATCTCAATTCTCAGGGGGGGCTCGCTTCACCGCTCACGAAACGTGCAAAATGAGAGTGAACTCTTCCGCTAAAGCATTAAAAGATAACACCACCACCATAATTTTTGCCTTTTTCGTGCATGTGGTGAGCGATGGAGACGGCCACAAACTCAAACTCGTCAATATACATTCTCCATCAAGCAGAGCTGGGCGAGTACAGAGTACAGCACTGGATCGCAATGCTGGCTTGATGCTACCTAGCGACGGATCGGGCTTAGCACAGAACCGCTTCGGAAACCAACCAGGGGTACACACTCACACTCACCTCCGTCATAATTTCTGGGTTTGCCTCCAACGGAAGCCATCTCTTCTTCTGCGTTTCTCCCATACTTGCCCGCCTTCCCTCCTCTTCCACTTGCCCGCCTTCCCTCCTCTTCCCTAGGTGGTGGAGGCCACCGATCTGGCGGAGTTCGTTCGTCCTCGAGTACGGAAACAGAGTGTCGGACAGCGACGAAGAGTGTTGGCGCTGCAATCCGCACAGCGCAAAGGCGAAGGCGGGACCGCCCCCAATTCCTACCTTCCCCAATTCCTACCGTAGTCCGAACCCCAGGGCACGCCCTCGTGGTGGGCGGGAATGTATATGTCGGCCTGCAGCAGTTTCGCGCACCGGCCAGACGGAACCGCTCCTGATCCGCTTCCTCGATCGAACCGCTGCCCCTCTCAAGTGGTCGGCGGGCATATTTATATAGTCCCACGCGCGCCACTGCTTGTGCTTTGGCGGGGATGGTCGGACGGGGGCATCCAGGTGGGCGGGATGGGATGGAATGGAGTGAAATTTTTTGTGGAAATTTGTTGTCGAGTTGCCAACCTTTAGGCTACCGCTTAGCGCGGTGCGGAGTATGCCAGCAAGGTTTGGCCTTCTTTTGTGTTTGTTTGCTGTTGTTTTTGAAATATGGGCCCGCCTTCTCTTTTGCCCCACTGAGCTGTGCCCTTAGGATGCTGTCCAGTGCGGTGAGGCGTCTGTCCGCAAGGCTGGCCTTCTTTTCTTTTTCTTTGTAGTGGCAGAGACCGGTGTTCTTAGGATGCGGTTTAGTGCGGTCTGGGGCATCTGTCCGCAAGGTTGGCCTTCTTTTTTGTGCTGGAGACGCATGGCCGGTGTGGTCTGGAGGGGGTTCCGACGTGTTTTCTGAAAGAGGAAGCCTCTGTCCGCACTCTTGGCCCTCTTTATCGTGGATCCATTCTTGCGGAGTAGAAGAGAGAAAAAGGGGGATAATTGGTAGAATTGCGGAGTAGAAGGGAGAAAAGGGGGGATAACTGGTAGAAGAGGACCAGGCAAAAAAACTTTTCGTTTTTAGGACCAAAGTCTGCTGGGACCAGGCAAAAGCTTTTTGGGGCGTCTGGGACTGAAGTCAGCCAGTTGAGTGGAAGGGGAGTGCTGGAGGCCTTCAACAATTACATCACAATTACAGGTTCACATTTGGGGGCCTGTATTCATTCCATGGGGCCCACTTGGGCACTTTCTACCAGATCATGAATCTGGTGATGTATTTCGGCCAGATTCAGGACCCGGTAGTCCCTTTTCACCCAACCAGCAGACTTTGGTCCTAAACTACAAAAAAGGTTCTCATGCAGTCCTGTTCTACCGAAGATGGAAAAGCATGGTTTGGACTCTGGACAGGGTCCGCATGGGTGAGTTCCTGACCACCGTCCACAGCCCTAGACCGCCACCCAAATTTTCTTGACGTGCCTGGGTGGTATCCCAACCAACCTCGCCAAGTGACCATTTTCAATTCAAATCCCTGTTGAAACTGTGTCAGGCCTGTTTTCCGATCCTGGTTGGGCCCTACGGGTTACCAATTCAGAACTGTCTAGGTCATGCAGGGACAGCGGTGGGCTCAGGCAGGCAGAGGCGACAGAAACCAAAAAATAAAAACTTTGGGACAGACCACTCCGTCTGATGTCAAAGACTGAGTAAGCAAGAAGACGCTCGTGTTGCAATTGATGCGCATCGCAAGTTGAAGATATAAAATTGTGCAAACAATTTGACAAACTAATTTTGGAAATTTCATGGTTGCGAAAGTTCAGTATGATGATTGCAATTTTTGTTGAATAGGCATTGCATTACTCGGTTTTGTTTTTTATTTTGAAAATTGTATATGTTACCATTTGGCTATATATGGGAGGGCAAGAGACATAAAGAGGGGGGAAGGGGGGGAAGGGGGGGAAGGAACAAAGAGATAGGGGAAAAATAAAAATAAAAATAGGGACACAAAAAAAGGAGGGAAAACTATTTAAAAAATGCGGAATAAAAAAGAAGATAAAGAACAGAGAGAGAGAGAGAGAGAGAGAGAGAGAGAGAGAGAGAGAGANAGAGAGAGAGAGAGAGAGAGAGAGAGAGAGAGAGAGAGAGAGAGAGAGAGAGAGAGAGAACAGTAAAGAAAACATTAGAAACAAAAAACAAAACAAGAGAAATAATATAAGGCAAAAAATTTATGGGTTGTGTTAATGATCCAATTAGTGCGAGATCACTAAGATGATATTTTGTTATCATATCTATTTTGAAGATTATCTTCCTTGTGAAGAGAGCATGATCATCATTCCATCTTTTAAAATAAAATAATTGTTAGTCACTAAAAATCAATGTGAGATGTGTTTTGCTATTATGTCTATGTTTGAATATTTTATTCCTTGCAATGAGAGCATGATCATAATTCCTTATCTTAAAAAAAAAAAAAAAAGCAATAGAAAAAACACATGACAAAAAGTTCATCGGTTATTTTAACTTGATCCAATCACAATAAGATCACTAAGATGTATTTTGTTATCATTTTTATATCTGAAGATTATCTTCATTGTGAAGTATGATCAACATGCTTTCTTTTAAAAGAAAACAATTGTTTATCACTAAAAATCAATGTGAGATGTGTTTTTTTATTATGTCTATGTTTGAAAATTTTCTTCCTGACTAATTTGAGGTTGATTTTTTTTTTTTTTCTAAGTACAAAAGATGGAAAGGAATACAAAATATATGCTTCTCGCTTGATATTAAGGACGTTAGGGCATGTTCTTAATATGTGCGGCTCCCCACAAATAAGACGAGAGTCATTCAACCATTAAAAAAAAAACTCATTCGCCTATGTCCGACTTAACCCGAACATAAAAGTGTTTTTTTTTTTTTAAATATATTTTTAACTTTTTTTCGGGGGGTGAGCTACAACTACTGGAAATCGGGTCCAGCGTTCCAATTTACAAGGTTTTTATGCCTAGTCTGGTCGGGTTGTTTCGGTCTGGTCGGGAGACTCCCTGTGGTACGCAGTCATCAAAGCCGCAGAGTGTGGTCCAACCTTCTAGGGTATGGTATCGTATCGTCTATGTTTAATCCCCCTCCCTCCCCTCCGCCCCATCCAACCTTCCCTCTTCCTGTTCCTTTCAAGCTCGTTTTTCCCTACTATTTTGCATATAGTCTCAAATTCTCACATGATCCCCTTTATTATTTCCTATATACATGCCTCCATATTGTTCCTCAATTCACTATTACCATCTTCCTTGCCCATCCTACCTACTAATTTCAACATTCATCTGACACCATGACCTCTTTCTCTACCGGTTGACATAGGAAAAACTCAAAATAGAGGTAATTTGTGGTTGGCGTGTGTTTGATCAGGGCAGGTATGCAACCCAATGTCCTACCTAAGATTACGCCTCACGAACGAACTTCATTTTCCCTTTGTCGAAATCAGCTTGAATAACTATCCTAAGATTTTCCTTTGCATACGGTATTGATTTGGTCGTAGCAATTCTCTATCCTTCGTGCACTCTTCATTTCTCCCACACCACACCACCCATAGGAGGACTTCTTTTATCGTTTTCGCAACTCTGCATTGTGGCTTCTTCCTCCTTGCTTCCACTGAGGTCTCTAACAACAACTCTGCCACCCAGTCCGCCCTTTTCGTCCCCCTCCTAAACCGTATGCCATAGATCTTCTTCGCCTGCTATTTTCAGCATCGTCATAACTCCTCGTGCCTGCTATACCTAACAAGTAGGTCCTCAACCTGCTCCTCGCAAAGCGGATACCACGTGTTAGTGAATCTTCTTTTGTGCGATAGCCACTCGACCGTCGACATTGCAAGATGCACTATTAGCCACAACAAGCCTGCTTGTTTTTTGTCAGACAGAAACATCATCGAAAGTAATTTAGGTTTTAACCTTTTATAGAGGGAAGTCATACCTAAGCCACATACCCTACCATTGACATCTAACACACACAACCTCATTTAGTGTATAGATAGGTTGTGAATGAACATCAAGCTAATTTTTTCACATTTCACATGAATAGTTGATAGTGTTTACTTAATTATCTTATATTCAATTAACTTTCACAAATGTTGACATAAAGTCAATATAAAATATACATAAAGGTAGTTTTATATCTTTCATAAACATCAAGGACTCTATAATATTTTCCTCCGTTTATGCAATGTCATTTCTATGAGTAAGTCATTAATATATTTTATCTTATATGCATTTATAATATAGACGTATTACACAACCTAATAAATTCAAACCTTTATTCATAAGTCTTTGTCTCTCACAACCTTAAATCTTTTACAGTCAAACATTCATTTTTTATTTGTTCTTTAACTCAAACCCAATTAAAAAATTTTAAATAAATTTTTAACTAATACAAACCTTTCAAAATATTAATTAAAAGCATAAATATATATTTTTTTCGTGCAGGGTTTGATAAAAGGTGCAGGTATGAAAGATGATGTGAAATGTTTGGTCACCAAACCGACCTATTATCTAATGATATCTAATAATAACAATTATGAAATCTCATGTAACCTTGTTTAGAACGCCTCATAAACAATTTGAAATAGAGACGATTTGTACAATATGTACACATTAAAGCATCTTCGTGATATTTGTAATTAATAGAGGTTGTTTTTCTCGTACTATCTCGTATTGTTTCTCACTCTTATTGCTACGATTTATAATTTGTATCACAAGTTGTTAAGGATTTCCTTAGTATCCCCCCACGAAAATGAACCTTACAAAATTTATGTTAAATAATTTACTCATTGCAATTATTTATAATTTGTATCATAAGTTGTTAAAATTTTGGTAATTATCTCCTCAAGAAAGTGAACCTCACAAAATTCATACTCAACCATTTTACAAGTTGGAAAAATTAAACCATGATTTATTCAAAATTTAATTTAATTTTGAAAATTGAAACGGTATTCACCAGTTTGAAGTAGCTGATGTAAGACCCAGGGTTCGATCCCTAGTTCCCCAACTTACCTGTGACCACTTGAAGAATTGAACCTGCGACCTGTAGAACCGCCAGTGGTAAGTAGGTCTGTCGTAGGTCCTTAGGTAGCCAGGATTTGATCCATAGACCTGTAGAGTAGAAGTCCAGCTGCAGTCCTTCTAGAAGGTTGGCAAGTGGTCAAGTGGWGTGACTAAAGCAAGCCCATGTTGGAGACGAGGACAAGTGGCAAGGGCAAATAGTAGGACCCCAGTGCAACTGCACTGCATCGTAGGGTTGTCACTATGCAGTCATGGGAAAGTCTAGAAAGTACCAGTCCGGTCCAGCAAGTACCACGGGGGGACTGTGTGCCTCATGGGCCAGGGATGCAAGGCAAACGAATGCARCACA